GTATGTCTGCATTTTCTTTGTTTGTTTTCTTTGTTTGATTTGTTTTTCTTTGTTTATTATATGTTTGTATTACTTACTTTTTTTCTTTCTGTATTTTTTGTTTTTTATTTACTTTTTCTGTATTTTTCTTTGTTTATTCTGTTTTTTATTTACTTTCTTTGTTTTCTTTCCGTGTTTTCTTTCTTTCTTTTTTTCTTTACTTTCTGTCTTTATTTTCTTTGTTTGTTTGTTGTATCTTGTCTGTCACTGTTATCGTCGTTAATTTTTTTGTGTGCATTCGTCATCGTTATCGTTGTTATTTTCATTGTTATTTGTTATTGGTATCGGCATTGTTGTTGTCGTTATCACCATGATCATCGTCATTATCATTATCATCATATATATCATCACCATCGTCATCATCACCACCATCATCCTCACTACCACCATCATCATCACCATCGTCAAAATCACCATCACCATCATCATCACCATCGTCAAAATCACCATCACCATCATCATCACCATCGTCAAAATCACCATCACCACCATCATCCTCACCACCACCATCATCATCACCATCGTCAAAATCACCATCACCACCATCATCGTCATCATCACCATCACCACCATCATCATCACCACCACCATCATCGTCATCATCATCATCACCACCACCACCATCATCCTCACCGTACCACCATCATCATCACCATCGTCAAAATCACACCATCACCACCATCGTCATCACCACCACCATCAACACCACCACTACCACCATCATCATCATCACCACCACCATCATCATCACCACCAGCATCACCAGCATCACCATCGTCATCATCACCACCACCACCATCAACACCACCATCATCACCACCACCACCATCATCAGCATCACCATCACCACCATCATCACCACCACCACCATCATCAGCATCAGCATCATCATCACCATCATCATAATCACCACCATCCTCATCATCACCATCACCACCATCATCATCACCATCATCACCACCACCACCACCATCGTCATCATCACCACCATCACCATCAACACCACCATCATCACCACCACCACCATCATCATCATCACCATCATCATCTCCACCACCATCTTCATCACCATCATCATAATCACCACCATCACCGCCACCATCATCATCGTCATCATCACCATCACCACCATCCTCATCATCACCATCACCACCATCCTCATCATCACCACCATCACCATCAACACCACCATCATCACTATCACCACCACCATCCTCGCCCCCATCACCATCATCCACCATCAATACGATAACAACAACAACAACAAATGAAAACAAAAAATAAACGTACCACAGTCATTACCTTCATTAACAACATTTCCTTCAAAAAAATAATCGATGCTTAATCACCACCTCCTGACCTGTCTAAAGTGCAATAGGCTTAGAGGTCTCGCTAATGAGATGCAAAGTAATTAACAGCTTTGGCACTCCTTCGCCCTTAACATAGCTAGACGTAATGGCTTTAATGACGATAAAAAAGGCACTTACGAGTGACGTCACTGATGGGAGAGGGATGAATGACGTCACTAAAGGATGGATTGTTGACGTCACTAAGATGGAATGTGGAATGACGTCATTACAGGTTACCGTGTTGAGTGACGTCAGTAAAGGATAGTGTTGAGTGACGTCACTAAGATGGAGTGTGGAATGACGTCATTACAGGATACCGTGTTGAGTGACGTCACTAAAGGATAAAGTGTTGAGTGACGTCACTAAGCTGGAGTGTGGAATGACGTCATTACAGGATACCGTGTTGAGTGACGTCACTAAAGGATAAAGTGTTGACGTCAATAAGATGGATTGTAGAATGACGTCATCAAGGATGAAGCGTTGATTGACGTCATTAAGATAGTGTCGAGTGACGTCACTGAGGATGGTAACGTCACTGAAGATAGTGTTGAATGACCTCACAAAGGATGATGGTGAGTGATGTCACTAAGGATGGTGTTGAGTGACGTCACTAAGAATGGCATGAAATGACGTCACTAAGAATGGCATGAAATGACGTCACTAATAGATTGTCGAACATAGCACTAAGGAGAGGGTGTCGAATGGCGTCACTAAGAACAGAGAGTAGTGTGACGTCACTAAGAACAGGGTTTTGGATGACGTCGCTAAAGATAGAGGTTGAATGACGTAGGTCAAGAAAAAACGAAAAAAAAATTGATTTGACTAATAGACATCCTACGTAAATTCCAGAGTTATTTTTGCATTACCATTACTCATCTTAATATATACTATATAAGTACTATAAACATCATTCATAATGATTTTGTCTCATGGTCATAATACATGACTTTGTATGAATTACGTCTATTAAACCAAACAAACAAACAAAAAAAGAAATGAACAAATAAACATAGAAGTCATTTCATAAACAGTACTTTTGACAAAAAAAAAGAAAGAAAGAGAAAAAAAAAATCGGTTATTCAGAGACACTCAGAGTAACAGAATACCAGACC